TGGGTCCCAGAAAAATACTGGGTTTTGTTGTTGGCTTTTTTTTTTTCTTTTTTTTCCGTTATTAAGAAGTATCCAGAATGTAGCAGAGAAAAATAAATATTCTTTATTTAAACCTCTTGTAAATCCAGTTAATTATTTTGGAACGTATTTTTCACCAGGTCTTTTTCAGTTCAGAACAGTGGTTCTGCTGTACAGCATAATCCCATAGATTTTGGGAGTGTAGATTATGGAAGAACAAGATGATTCAGCCTCACTCCCATTTCCCATTCTGGCATGCAAACATTTATGCCAGTGTTTGGAAAATGCAGCCTACTGAGTTCCAGATTTGGAAATTCAGCATTGACATAGTTTAAACCATATATAACCCCATGTGATAGGTATGCTGCCTACTCTTTGCACATTCTGTATATTTTCTTTGGGTAAGTGCTACGCACTGACTTTAATAAATATCCTGTATGCATAACATCCTCTTTCCCTCTTTGTAGCAAGGCACTGTGGAGGTTGTGCTTCCAAAACAGGTCGACGAATTTGGAGGCCACAGCAAGAAGGAATAACTGATGCCACAGAGTAATTTACAGACAAGTTCAGTGAGAAGACAGCAGTGCCACTGACATAAGCCGTTCTGCAGCCTCCTTGCCCCAGGGTTGTTTCCCTCCACACTCTGTGCCATTTCATCCTTTGTGCCACCCTGGGGCTTCATGCGGAAGATCATGTCCAGGAGAAAACCTATGCATGGAAAAAGGCCTTGGCTGGCTTTAATATGGTCCACTGCATGAACACACACCTTCTGATGCCAGAACAAGAGAAAGGACAGCATCCAGTCAGAAAAAAATCACGGCAGAGAGAGAATTGGACTGCTTCTTTTGGCTTCAGTACCGGACTCAAGTGTTTGTGGAACCAAAGCCTTCCAGTGCCAGGTCTGGATCTCTTGAATTAACATCGTTAAACCACGAATAAAATCTTATTTTGGCAGATAATTTTCTCTGGTCTACAGTAAACAGCATCCATTGCTTATTCAGTCAGGTTCCTGGAATACAGGCAATAAATATGCCTCTTTTATATTGTTTTTTTGTGGGAGTTTGGATAATAACACTGAATAGAAGCTGGTCTTTACCAGTCTAAGTCAGGCTGCCCTCAATTTTCTCACATTCTAAAGAAAGATATTGCAGACTGACATGTATGCTTCAGTACAATTTTGGGGACCTTTGTGTCCCTGTGAATTGACAGAGCTGTGCAGGGGCAACTGCATGGGGCTGTGTCCCTTCCTACGTGGCCAGGAAGGCTCTGCTCAGTTTAGGAGCGGTTCTTACCATGTTTTTCTACTCCACGAGTACAATTAGGATTGGTGTAAGGGTCTGCAGCACCAGACGATTTGTCAGGTTGCACAACGTGTCTGCATGTGAAGCAACCATGAGGCAAGGTCCAGGATGGCCGCAGTGCAGTGAAAATATTCGCAGCTCCACAGAGAAAAGAAAGCCTTCCAAATGTTACACAATCGCTCAGTCAGAAATCCCAAATAATTAAAGAAATAACCCAGATGCCCTACACAGAAGGAAGGACCATGTGTTTTAGGGGCTGGGTTTAAGAGCTTTAAAAAGTAACAGAAAATGGAGTCCCTGTTTCAAAGAGCCCACATAGGGTGGGTGCCACAGGGCCCCAGACAGACAGACAGACAGGCCAGACTGAGGAATCTGTGCTGAGTGAAACGGCCCAGGCACCCCCAGTACATTGTGAGTCCACGTGAAAGCTTTGGTCAGTAAAATAAATTCATGGATATCTCAGGTTGGAGGAAAACTCCTCTAATGATAACGTAAACCAGCATCAGGAGGATGAAAACACAAATTCTCTTACATATCACACCAGCCAGAGTCAGGGTTGTGAAACACTGAGAATATAGGCCACACAAACTTAGGCAGCAAAGTACTTTAACATCCTCAAAGCTTCTGCCAGCCCTCTGAAAACCTCTTTCCACTCTTGTGTAGAGCCACACATTCCCCCTTCCTTCCCCCCAGCCTTTTCTTTCACTATGTTTCTGTTTGGAAACATCTCCTTTGGTTGTCAGAGCGTTGCTTTCATTTGCAGCTTTACTTTGTTTCACAAAATCATTCAATAATTTTTCTTGATCCAAAGACAATTGTTTGAAAGCATTTCAGCAAAGCCTGCAGGAAGACAGACCTCTATTTATTCTTGTGATTCGCTTTCTCTATCATTTTCCTCGCTCTTTTCCTTGAATCTGCTGACGACCACTAATTTGTGCATTTAGAATCCAAGGGAAAGCCCACTTTTATATTTTCAGAAAAAGACGGTGTTATTTTCTATCCTTTGCAAGATGCCACATATGCAATTTGCTTCCTGCCTCGAGCTCTGAAATCACCACAACAATGCCTTCTGCCATCAAGGTCTCAGGGCCTCCTCTACAGCAAAACACTTGAACAAACACTTCAAGTTGAGCCCCTGCGTATCCTTATTGAACATGGAGAAGGCCTGGGAGTATAGCTTGAAATGCCCAGATTTTTTATTATTTATTTATTTATTTATTTATTGTATGAGGATTCTAAAGATATGCATTTCAGAATGGAACTGATGACATTTTTTACACAGAAAGTTGCTTTTAACTTGAAGTGGCTGTTCAGCTGATAGCAAAAATTTCACATCGTTCAATACTCCACAAGAGGAAAAACAATGCACTCCTCAAAGCCAAGCTTCCAACTGGAAATCATTTACTTTTTTTTTCATTCTTACAAAACATGAAAAATTATGAAAATTGCAAGACCATTATCCCTAGGTCTACACTGAAAAAAAAATGACATGAAAACAAAAGGATAAGAAATCTCTTGTTTGTTTTTCCTGCTTTGCAGAGGAAATGTCTGGAGATAGGATATGGTCACTTCTGAGGCAGAGCCTGATTCCCCACGGTCAGAGAGGTCAAGTTAGGTGTTCCTAAACTTTCAGGCTTCTTCAGACTGTTCTCTTCTCCGGAAGGATAATTTGTAATGCTGGTTTCTGTAGCTGTAAATAAGCTTTAAAGTACTGGCAAATTGCCCCAGCAATCTGTTCCTTTTACCTTAGCACAGCCAGAAACATCTCAGGGATTGTATTGGTGCCTGGAGACCTCTCCAGGATCACTGTGTGGGCACAGTACCACAAAACCAGCAAAGATGCCCCAAGGCTGAACTGCTGAGTGAAGAATTGCAAATATTTGCATCAGACAGATGCACTTAGGGATAGTAACCCGTTCCTAACCTGGGGAATTCTGCAGGAAGTCTTCACCTCAGTAGTCTGAAAGATCAGGCCCGGTGTCATTCAGATTAAGATGTAACTGTGCTGTTATCTTGGATGGAGTGTGGGATTTATGTAAACATCTTCTCCTTACTGAGCATCAGTCGATTCAAAGAATTTCTATAAGTGGTTTCTATGCTAAAGAGGACTGTGTTTACATCTTGAGCAGCTGTTGCTGTTTTTTGGTTCTGTGTGAAAAAAATAAGTAAATAAAACAAAAACCTCTTTAACTTCACATTTATTGCCTGTTTCCATTCCTCTTGGACATAGTGGCTGCTTTGTTCCTCTGGCAGCAAAAAAAAAAAGAAAAAGAAAAAAAAGAAAAAAGAAAAAAGAAAAAAAACAAACAAAAAAAAACCAGCAGAGGCAATTTGGCCAGGAAGGAATATTCCCACCCCACGGGATCCCCAAGTTTCATGAAGTGCTGTTGTGATTCCCCTGCCAGCCCCTTTCCAGAGATGAAAAAGAAAAGACATAGGAAGAAGGGAGGGAAAGGGCTTTTTTTTTTTCTTTTTTTTTTTTCCCCAACTGCAAATGCATAGAGACATCTTCTGCTGATGTCATTGCAGCTCATTTTCTGCCCCTCTGTGATACGGGGAAGGATCTGGCAACCTGGGACAGCAGGGCTCTGCCCTGATCATTGCTCTGTTGACAGCAAATGCTCAGCAGCTGTCACACCTGTGTCAGACACCTCCAGTGAGACGCCCTGGGGAGTGCCTTCAAGACCAAGCCTGGGAGTTCCTTTAGGTTGTTTGAAGCGGCTTCCAGCCACCCTAATCACTGCTCCGAGGTTTCCTGAGAGAAGGTCACAGTCCGTATTTCTGCCTTAAGAACGAAACATTAAGACCTGCTCTTCAGTGTTTATTCTTTGCAGATACAAGCTTAAAAAAACACCCTGTGCAATTCCACTTGCAACCTGAGTATTTTGAACAGATGGAAGCACAAGGAAGAACGTAGCTCTTTATATCTTATTCACTCTGCAATTCACATATCCCTGACAAGAATCTTTTTTCTTTAATTTGGGACCTATGCATCAACAAATCTTACCGTGTTAATCTGTTTCAAGTAAAGTCTGATGAAAGCCACCTTCGATTTTTTTTTGCTTGCATTAAATGTCTTTTTGAACTCTAATGTGGGTGGCTGACCTTTAGAATAAGTAGCTATACTGGTGCAATGCAGCAAGAAGCACTGAACAGGAGCACTGACAGTGGAATGAGAAGTGACTGGCAGGGCTGAAGCACACCCATGACATTAATGCTGCCAGGGGAACTTGGTGCTCACATGTTTGTTGTTGGTGGGAATGTTTTCCCTATAATCTCACTTTTGCAAATTAGCTAGGGAGATTTACATCCACAAGTCTGGCACCTTGCATGATGTTTAGAGGAACTCTGGTTCCTTTTCCCTGGAATGCAAGATCAAGAGAGGGCTTATGCATTAGAAATGATAAACTAAATCAAACAGCAGTGGCTTATTCTTTAAAGTAAACAGAGCAAAGGCGCGGTATCAGCCACAGCTGCAGTCAGGTGCATGCTGACAAAGGAAAGAGAATGAAAAAAATGTTTTCCTAACAGAGGAAGTTATTGGAGTTTGTTTACATTTTCCAGAGAGGAAAATAATCTTTTTTAAGAAAGCAGATTGATCTTTTACATTTTAACACCACCATCAACCCAGCAGAAGGCAGACTTGTTTGCAGTGAAACCACTGAACTTTATCCGGCTTATGGCTCTGTTTGGAAAAGTGCTGAGCAACTCAGATTCAAAGAGGTCGCCAGAAAACTAGGTGATGCTCTTGGAATCGAGCACAAAGTCGGGATGAGGCAATGGTTAAGGCAGTGACTCTCAGATTTACCATTAATAAGCTGCGGGCAAGGAACTCTAGACCCAGGAGGAACTCAGACAACAGGTAATGCTACTTTGCTCAGTCATACCAAAGGACACAGCACAGTGTCCCTACTGCTGTTTACCTTATTTCTTGGGGGAAAAAAAAAAAAGCTTCACTTTTGTTTCCCAGGCTGCTTAGATTCTATCATCTATTCTCAGTTTCTTAACCCCATGCTAAATTAGTATGTGCTTGATTATTGTTAGTTCCATCAGGGGTTAACTGCAATGAAACATAGTACCAAAATAGAGTATACCAATGAAAAACAAAGAAGAATCGGGAAGAACTATATTTTCTTATAATGACAGGTATGCATCAGAGAGGATTTTTAGTACCTTATCAATGATAACATGGTATCGTCAGTAAGAAGTCAGTGATTTCAAGCTTTTTATTTCTTTTTCTCATGCAAAACTGTTACTATTGTAAAGAGCCTGGTCTACCCTTATTTTTAATTATGTTGACAATGCAAAGGAGACAAAACTGCCTGAACAGCAGCACTGCAGTGACTTTTGGCAACAGCATTCTGCTACATACTCTTGCTCTGGAGCCACATCCAAGAGAGATTGCTGGGTTCAATGAAGATTAGGAGGAGTGGAACGCAATGCAGGCTGTGTGCTGGAAAGTTCTGGAAGGAGGTCCCTGAAGGATGGCTCAGTGCGACAATGTAGACTTCCAAATAGATTTAAAGATTACCTCAGTCAATGGACGTGTTCTTAGCTGCTTTGTATCCAACAGTCCGAAGTCCAGTCTGAAATGCAGCCCCTTTTCTCTACCTGCTAGGGTGCAGCACTGCCAGCTCTGGGATCATGTTTTCATCACGTCCATGAAAACAACATCACACAGAGGGGATATGCTGAGTAACAACAACCCATTTCTGTCCTCATAACAAGGAATACGTCTGCATGTGGGTATTTTTTATTGGTTGCAGTGGTTATATTTTTATTAGCGCTGCTGCTTTTTAACAGTAATGGCAAGATTTTATAACTCATCTGAGCCAGATCAGTAACCGCTGCCTCTGAAGAGCAGACCTTACTTTACCCTTTTCCTTCCCTACTTCCATCTTCTTCTGCCCCCACTCATTCTCCTTACTTTTCATTTCTTTTCCCACTCATATCCCCAGAACAATACCCCCAGAACATCCCAGTAACGTTTTTCCCACCAGCAAAGCCGGTCTGAGAGGTTCTTCCTTTTCTTATTCCTTTACCTGTTCCCACTCCCTGCTATGTTTCTCCTACTTCTTTTCCAGATGTACTTACACAACCATTTGTACAGTTATGTTGCCAACCACATTGTTGAAATCATCCAAATCCCACTTTAGAAGTAGTTTGTTGTTGTTGTTGTTGTTTGTTTTTAATCTCTCTATATCCTTCTGGATGGCTGTGATCAGAGCACAGCCCAACCCAGCTCTGCACCCCCTCCAGACAGCACAGCCAAGGGCACTGAACTGTGGTGGTGAGCCAGCTGAGTTTGCAAAGAAGGGAGCCACACATGCCAGTACAGGGTGCCAATGAGGTCTTTTGCCTAAAGAAGCTGTGGTACCCCATCTCTGGAGGTGTTCAAAGCCAGATTGGATGGGGCCGTGGGCAGCCTGAGCTGATGGGGGGCAGCCCTGCCCACAGTGGGTGGGTTGGAGCTTAATGACCTTTAAGTTCCTTTCCAACCAAAGGCATTCTGTGATCCTGTGGCTCTTTCACACAGCTTTGCCATTAGAGATGAATGTCTTAAGTTAGTTTCTAGGCTGCAGTGAATGCAAAATTATCATTTTCAGCAGCAGATGAACTAGAAATTCAAACCACTGTAAGCATGAGTCTCTACACTGACAAACAAAAGGTTAAGAGCTTCAAGGTGACAGCTCTGTTTTCCGCTTTGATCGTAGAAATTGAGTATTGGTGCCAGTTGGGAAGCAGAAGGCTTTTCCTGGGATCAACAAAGAAGCAATTTTGTAGGAACTTGTGGGTCTTATTGTTAGACCTCACTGATCTGTGCTATATCTATTACCTGTAGATATAATGAAGAACATTTTCTAGGTTTGAAATGAAAAAGTGTTCATCATCATAGCCATGGCTGCTTGGTATCAGTCCCTGTTAAATACAGTATGATATTCTTCAAAGTCCAGACTTCAGAAACCTTCAAACCTACAACCTTTTACAACCTGTTCTTTGTCTAGTGTTATGTGCACCCTCAATCAACAGCACATAAAGAGCTCCATCATCCTGTAATTTATGTGCTTGTGTAAACTGCAACTGCCAGTTTAGATGTTTGTATGAGATACAGATTTTTGTTTGTGAAGAATATATACACTGAGAGCTGAATTCTTTGAACACCAGGCAGAAGGGAACATTGTCTCCTCAGTGGGTTAATGACTTGTTTATACTGAACATAGAAATAGTTCTCAGCAAGTTTCTGCTCATCAGGTGATGACTCCACCTTGCTACCTGAAAGCAGCATTAGTAAGTCTCAAGTCAAAAGCTGGAGAAAGCCAGTAACACTTCAGGAGAAGTGTCAAAATTTAATTAATTAAATTGCAGAGCACAGGTATCTGTGATGTGGGTAAAGGCTTGGGTCTGAATATTCCTTCAATGATAATCTGAGCACACGTTCTTTGCCTTCAGCAAGATTTACTTCTGAGAGTGGAAGATAGAGTTTCACCCTAAGAGTGAGAATTACTGTGTATGGGAGCATCCTGACAGTATTTGAGGTGAAGAAGTAAATTTATGTCTCAGAGTTGAGCTAAAGTACGTGTATACATACTTATATATAATCATCGTTCTCCTCTATTACATTAAACTTGAATTTAAACCTGGTACTCAGTTTGTAAACCACAGTAAATAACTGTTTTTCATAACTGTGTCTGTATCAACTTCTGTACCTATTTCCTATTATCTCTCTTGTGTTCAAAGCAATCTGAGGGTAACTCAAACACCAACACATTTGTTCTTCTGCATGTGGTGACTGTTAAATTTTGGGCTGTTAATTAGATGTTTTAAAGGACCAGTTTTAGAGGAAAAATATCATAGTAAGAGAATATTACTTCAAATCTCAAACACGTGACTAAGTCAGCAAGTAAAAAGTATAGCAGACTAGCTGTTATTATCATATAGAACAATAACAAAAGGAAGAATGTTTATTCTAGAAATTGCTGCTGTTGTATGACATTTAGGATGAATGCTGCCTAGCTTAACCTCAGTTCAGAGTATAAGTTTCAGGAAGGTTTTAGGGTATTTGCTAGTGGGAATCTAAAGAGGAATATGTGTTCAGTGTCAGAGGGAACAGAGCTCTTGTTTACAATCAGATCTGCTTTCTGACCTTCATTCACTAAAGGCCCCCACTCATCCTTAAAATTCTGAATGTTCTCACTGCCAATGCATTTCAGACATCTTGTTTCTTATTGCCATGACTAAAGCTCAGCTAGGCACACTGTTTACAATTGCTACTCATGCTTTGCTAAGCTGCTGCTGATACTGTTATCTCAAATTGTTTCTAATGATATCTTACTCTACTCAATGAGGTCTATTAACAGAGTTAAGATTAAATTTTTGATCTGTACCTGAACTTTAGCAAAATCCTTTTGGAAAGCTTCTGTGGAGTTCAGTATTTTCTTTGTTCATTAGAACAAGCCTGTCTAGCTCTTCCTTATATAAACCAAGAGCTTCCAAGGAGTCATAGTAGAGTTTGTCATTTTTATGAATAAGAATCATAGTAGTGACATTAGAAAGGATAAAAAAATATCAAAGGCATGTGCCTCAGTGCTTTAGTATCCCCGTAATCTAGGTAGAATTCAGGCAAGAAAGTGTCTGCAAGGTTATTTCGTCTGCCTAAGAAGTTCTTGGAAGAATTTTTCTTGCTATTTCCAAAGATGTGCATGGTCTGCTGCTTTGAACTACTGCAGGCATTGGTGGCCTATGAAAACTTATTTTTCAAGCACCAAGAAATATGCAAGTCATCAGCAAAAGCTGGAAAAGATATAGAGTATGTTTTATCAAAACTTCAAAGTAAAGAGAGAGAAAAAAAGAAGCAGCTATGACCATGTAGTTCACAGAAGATTTATTTTTCTAATGCTACTGATTTGACAAGGAGAGCACTCTGATGTTTGCAGTGATGGGAAATAGAATAAAACACCAATGCTGTCAGCACTGACAGATTTATGTGTTTAAACACAATATTACTTTATGCAGAGATGTAACAGAATCGACTTTTTGCCATAAGACAAGTAGGATGTTAAGCATGTGGGGGCACGTGGATATCACCCAGTTACTTTGGGTGACAGCTAGCTTACTATAGGACTGTAGAGAGATTTGTATCTGGAGGTAACTGTGTAGATGAAGAAGGGCTAGAAAGCCATTCCAGTTGTGAGAGGGAGAGAAGTTTTGCTGTGTTTTGTAGATGATGAATGAAAACAAGTTCTAACACTGCTTTCTGGTTCATTTCTGCTTAAAACTTCCTTTATAAATTTAATAAAGGAATTATTATAAATATATATAATTATACATATTATAAATTATAAATTATTATAAATATTATATATTTATTATATATTGTAAATTATAATTTTATTTTATTATTATTATAAATTATTATAATTATTATAATAAAGATTATAAATACTCCATGTTAGATAACCTTTTTTAAGATAAACCTTTGGTGTTTATGGATATAAATCTCCAGATGAGAGAGAGTTCGAAAAAAATTGACAAATAGGTATAAGAACAAACACTGCGAAAATAAGAGCACATAAAGATATGAGAGGAGGAACACAGAAAATTATACTTTGGCCATCTTGAAAGAGATCAGGAGTTCAGGAGAGAGTTCAGGATTTAGCAAGAAATTACAGTGTTACTATGAAGTTTTTTTAAGCCAGTCAAAAAAAGTCACGGATTTTGAAACCAGGTTTTACATGGTTTTGAATTAACAACTACAGAATCCTACTGACTGAGTCCAGGTAAGTAAACAGTGAATGAAATCAATCCATCACACTTCTCCTTTAATTAAGATGCATTATTTTCTTTGCTTGCATGATATACTTCACCTTTTTTTTTTTTTTTTTTTTTTTTCTCCTCCCAGGATCTGTAGGCTGTATTTAAAACAGTTTTCTGTCTTTTTCTATAACTTTGTCCTTTTTTCTTTTCCCATAATTTACAATCGACCCTGACTTCAGTTCCAAGAACAATTGGGACTGTTTTATGAAATCAATAGGAATGTTTGACTGCTTGTTACTCTTTGCCAGGGCTGCTTTCTTACCTTGTTCCTAACTGTGCTGATGTTCGATGTTGTTTTGTGGTTTTTTTTCTAAATAGCAAACTAGTAACCAGCAATGTAAATTGTCTCATCAGTTCCTTTTCCACTTGGTCCAAGGAAAATTCAGATAGAAGCACTTAAGACAATTGCTTTGTGCAGATAACAAAAAAGAACTTTCATTACTCCTGGATCAAGGAGGATGGATGGAAGAAATGAATGTAGGAGATTTTCCTTCTTTGGAAGTTTTGTTCCTCTCTCTGAAACACAAGTCATATCCTGATAAGGAAGACAAGCTTTACTGCTGCTTTATGAAGGACTCATTCCCACACGTACAGAGCATCTCCTCTCCTGTGATGGATGAAGAAATGTATCAGATATGCCTGATTTGAAATCTCATCATGACTCTGGCAGTCACTACAAGAGTGTTACTTCTGGTGTTCATCGCCTTACGGAGTGGAGTTAACAGATAGCAACAAGATAAAAAGAAATGTTGGCCCTTTAAAAAATGAGGGAATTTTGCTACTGATTCGACTGGAGTCAGGGTTTCAGCTTGTGTATTTAACCTACTGAATGCCCTAAACTGCACTGCAGAGCAGGTGCTTTCCTGTCTCTCGAGTGGCTAATGTCCTCAGATTTTACAGATCCCTGCAGGACTTTAATTCCTGATCCCTGCTTGTCACATGTTCTATAAGCTACTCTCCTTGAAAACTGCTTTGAAAATAGGTGTTCTCTGCACACAGGTGTTGGATTGATGCATAGCCTGAGCTGGTCATCTGGTCCTGTTGTGGTAGGGGCTGTTTATTCATTACTGATTAAATCAAGCATCAGGCTTGACAGCAAAGTCTACTTATAATTTGAGCCTCCAGAAAAAGAAACTGGAATTTAATTGTATTACAAGTTTGCCTTAGAATCATTTCATTCAGATTCATGACCCTGCACTCATGTATAAGATATTCAAAAGATTAATCTTATTTTAAATGACAGGTGAAAGTCTTCGAATCAGGCATATGGTACGTATCTATCTGTGCAGCAAGTCTCCAAATGGATTATTCCTAGATAATTAACAGATTTCAAAGTACTGACTCAGTGATAATAATTCATTCCAGAGTTCAGATACATACTTGATTGACTTTAATTTAAATATGTTAAATTAATAATAATAATAATAAATTATGTAATTCAGGCATTGTAAGAGCTTAAAAGCAAATGTCAGTTTGTGCTGCACCTCCCAGCAGATTAGTTTTCTAATATATCTGTTTTCTAATGAAACTGCAGTGGTGAAGCTGTAATTTGGGTTTTGTGCCAAATGTTCTTACTCCTATTTACATCAAAAGCTTCAGCTGAAACTGACACGTATTAGAAATTTTCAAAACACATGCCAGATTTATACAGCACACAGAGAGAACGAGACATTTTTAATTCAAGATGGTGATTTCCGCTCATCAGAAGTCCATCTCAGTCATTTCATCCCAATGAGCTTCTTTTAATAAATACCAATAACTGTACAAATTGTTTAATACACATCTTGCCATCTTGTGCCGTGTATTTTATTCAACAGAAAAGCAAGATGTGGTACTGGAGCACATCCTTCTAGTGGCAGTAATGTGGAGGTCTGCTCTGTGCCACTGACTGATGCTGAACATGGTGCGGATGCAGACCGCAGGCAGTACTCCTGGAGGTGTTCATAGAATCATAGAATGGCCTGGGTTGAAAAGGACCACAATGACCATCTAGCTTCAACACTGCTCCTCTAACATTTCTCCCTTTGAATGCCAGGATACACCTTTGAATGAAACAGCAAGCTTCTCTGTTACTGCTGCCCTACTTTATTCCTTACCATTCCTTTTACCCTACACCCACTCCTACTTGCTAGTTCAGAGCAGTCTTTGAGTGCACGTGCCCTCTGTTTGTAGCAGGCCCTTTTTGGCAAATTGGATGACTTGTTGGTAAGTGCCCTATATGGCTTTTTGGAAAGAATTTTAATTGTTGACAAGGGTAAAGGGCTGATTGATATCTGAGGTAGAGAAAGCCTCCACAATTTATCTTAAAAAAAAAAAAAAAGCCTCAGGGCTAGATTTTTTGATAAAGGGAAAGAAATGTTACAAAAAATTATGATACCCACATTTATGCATTTAGACAATCTTGAGTCTGAATAGTCAAAAATTCACAGAGGAAAAGAAATTCAAAAAATTGTTTTCATTAATAACAGGAACTTCACAGAATCACAGAATGGCCAGGGTTGGATGGAACCTCAAGGATCATGAATCTCCAAACCCAATGCCACATTCAATGATTTTTCTGTATGATTCTAACTCCAGAAACTCAGCTCCCTGTATGGCCCTAAATATTTCAGGAATGGTCAGAAACAAATCAATTAAAATAGGAATTTTCTGTCATGAGAAAATGGGTATTTTCCTCAGAATTCTGAATGAATGGGGCTGTTCCTGACCTTATCGATGCTATGGTGAGTGTAAAGAAACTATAGTGAAGACACTGAGTTACATTTACATTCATTCAAAATCAGAGGGAGGTCAGAATCAGTAATAATATATATCTTTATTTTAGAAAAGATTGCCAATATACAGTTACAACGTTCTATCAGAACTTAACCTTGATCTCGTATCTCTAGTGATTAGTCCAATAGTTCACTTATCACAAAGAAAGTTATTTAATATTATGTTCACTAAAAATAGGTCTGAGGTCTCATGACCTTAGATTTAACTGCTCCTCAGGTGGTGAAATGACAGACTTCTCTGCCATTATGTCACGATTGAGCCATTACTCTCCATAAGTAAACTTATACGTATAAATACGTGTAGCTAGCTCCAAAAGTAATGCCTCCTATTTATTTCCACGGAAACTCAAATAGATGAAAAGAGCACAACATTATTTGATAGAGCAAATTCTCAACTGCAAACCACTGTTTTTCAACACAGTCATCAGCATTAGCCGATTCATATGGATGAGCTGATGAAGATTCTCTTCATTTTGTGGTGTGACAGCTGTGCATGGCCATCCAGAATGTCTTTCTCATTGCTGTCACCACTCCTGAAACGCAACAACTACCACCTCACTGTGCTCACGTTCACTGTTTGGTCTCCACAAATGTTCAGCAAGTATCAATGCATGTCAATGGGTGCCATATTTTTTTTTCCACATGGAGGAATTCAGTGACACACCTTTGCTAAATACACATTTCCATGTCAGACATCATTGTGTCTGAGTGCCCCTCTGCTGTCATCTGTCACACGGCAACAGCGTGTAATGGAATATTGGCAGAAAGGTTCAGCCTCTACTGCCATCCCACCAACGTCCACCTCTGACATTATGGGTCAACGTCATATTACAGGAGACAGTACTTTTGGAGCTGCCCTTGTATATTTATACACATATTTTAAGGTGCTCAGTACCTTTAAAGGTATCACTGCTGTCACATACCTGTGTTTTCCTGTCTTTTTGCCCTACCTGCATACAGTGTGGAAAGTAAATATTCTTTATTTCCCAGATTTATAAATAAATCATACACTTTTTTTTTTTTTTTTCTGTCTGCTTTTCTTCTGATTGCACGTCAGCAAGTGATTGCAATTGCTTCATCATAGACACATTTTTGTATGGTAGATATCATAGTCAAATAAGCAACTTTTACATTCCTTTTGTTGAGAAAATTCTCTCTATAATTTTATTCATGTTTCAAGTTTCTAGAAATCCTTTCCCTAACATTTTCTGAAAAGCATCAGTGTTTTTAGTTAGAGTTGGCAGCATTGGCTTTCTGACTGTGGCAATTAAGCTGATCTGTGATTAGCAGTGGGTTATGCAATAGACTAGAAGACACTGCATCTTCCCTTCTGCTTTTTCTCCAAGGGCCAGTAAAGTAACACTTCATGTCATCAAGGACAGAAGCACCCTGAGAATAAATAGAGATCTGTGGTCTTGGAGAAAATGCAACTGCCATAAATACATAAATCTCTCTCTCTTTTTTTTTTTTAAGTAACTAATGTGCACATGGCTTGCTATTTAGGTTCAAACCTTTTGGAAGTGAAAATCTTTGTCACTGCAAAACATTCTTAATGCACCCTATACATAAATGTCTATTAATAATGTGCTGTCAGTGCTGTGAAACAAAATAAACAATCAGAAACCAGATGAAGCATCACTGGGAGAAAGCAAGTAGAGCTCTGTTAAATTTATAATATTAGTGAAATAGAACTTGAGCCCTCAAAAGTGATTAAGTGCTTAACACCTGCTAGTTTCAGCAGCAATCAGACACTCAAACACTTTTAGAATTTGGGACTGTGCAGGTACTGTAATGAGTACAGGGGAAAAGCATTAAATGAACATTTAACACAAAAAATTACTCCAACAGGTTTATGTCTTCATTGGGTATTTATTTGTTAGTACTTTCATTATCACCATGGCCTGGCATAATACATGAGTAGGATACAGCTTTCACACCAGGCTAGAGACATTCATACTAAGATTTCTTATTTTTCAAGGAGGTCTATAACTTCATTGTCAGGTTTTCCCTTGGGCTAAGCCCTAGGTGGAGTAAAATCTCAATGCAAGAACAGCATTCAGTTCTTAAAAACCGTTCTTAAAATCTTGGCTCTCTCTTTTCCTTCAGATCAAGGGTTGCCATCCCTCAGTGGTGATGTTCAGGATACCACTCTGCTAACGCCGGAGCAACATCACTCCTGCATTCCTTCTTTGGCAACCCCTCCTCCTCCCAGCACCCCCTGATCTATCCCTCCAGCTGAGTGTTTGCAGGTTGGGCAATGAATGAGGTGGCATTTGCTCACTAACACTCTGTGATCTGACTCCACAAATAGTTTCCCAGGCACAGAGACCAGCTAAGATCAATGAGATCATTCACACAAGCAAATAAAGATTTGCAGGATCAGGCCCTTGATCGCCTCCTCTCTTTTCTTGGGACTGGTGTCCTTTCCCAGCACCACCATAACAACACTCTTTGGCATCTCTTTCTCTTATTGTTTTCCTGCCAGTTTGCCAATTCAATATTTTTTTAATCCCTTGACTTCCTTGAAAACTCCATCTGTCATTGCTTTCCTAAAGGTTTTAATTTTTAAACAAAAACAACAACAACAACAAAAGTGAAAACTCAGGTAAAATTAATTGAAACTGTTGATTCTTCTTATGTTTAATTACTGGAGAATGATTTCTTCTCTGAATCCTGAAGTGGTGACACATCTTCTTCCACAGGCTTTCTGTCCTGCAGTGATTACTTCCCACGCTCACTATGCTGCAGAGAATTTATCATTATCACTGAAAAATGATTTCTTTACATCTATGCACACTCAAAAGCACCATTTCTACACTGAGTTGCATCATGTGATGTCAGAAATTTAAAAAAAAAAAATTTCTTAGTGAGAAAAATAGAGAAACCACCAAAAGACCCAGGGCTGCTTCAGTTTGAAATCAACAGAGATTTGGACACAGAGTTAAGCGGGAACAGAATTAGGTCCCAAGACAGTAAGATCATGTGGGGCTGAATTACACAAACACTTCTCACTAACAGAAATAAATTCTTTGAAGCAGTAAGAAGAGCTTATAAATACTGAAGTGCTTCCTTCCTTGCCACCAGTACCTTTATTCCATGTTTACCCCACTTAGTCTTTTACATCATGGTCTTGAAAGAGAAAAGGAAAGACTTCCAGTTCCCAGAAAATTTTCACTCCGCACTTAGAAATGTTTTCAGATGGGTTACTGGGAGACTGGTGACAAGGAAGGATCATACAGCAGAGGGTGGGTTCATGGGGAGGTAAAAGGTGTGGATCCAGAGGCTGTGCTGAGGGTACAGGGGAACACTGCTGCTATGTTTCCTTTCTATTATGATAGCTATTTGCTAGCAAAGGACTTGTGAGAATCCCAACAACCTCCCAGTTACTCCAGAAGACTTCTGAAGGAGATGAGGCTCATTTGCAAAGAGCAGGTATTGCATGGAGATGCAGGAGGCCTGTGAGCAGGCTTCCTCCAGTCATACCACAGCTGAGCGTGACCCATGAGCGCTATTAAGGGCTGAGGTGGGGGTTTCAGATGTCACCTCAGCTACCTGATGTGGCTGACAGACATTCTCAGTTACAAAATTCCCGCATGTCTCTCTGCAGTCCTGCCTACAGGTTGATAGGCCATAGGTATCATATATGATATGATATGATACAGGTAGATAGGCCATAGAAGTTCTGAGATCCCACATACTGAAAAACAAGAAGTGCTTCCCCCCTGACAGCCCTTTGCCCTTCCAAGTCAGTACCACAACTTTGCATTTATCCTTGCCTGTGATGCTTCCTGCGAGCTGTCCTTACAAATGAAGAAGGGATGCAAGTCCAATGGAGCTGCTAGATAGAACTAGCAGATACAAGCCATAAGTTTTCGAAAGCTACCCAAATCTTGCTCTGCCATTTACCTTAATGTATTATATTTTACTGTGCTGCATTATCCCTGAATGCCCAAGTAAGCCCGTATTACGGCATTATTTGTTACTAGCAAGTTTTTGGCTGCAAGGTTGTATTTCAATATGGAGAAGAAGAAAAAAAAAAAGAAAAAAGTGTACAAATTGTGAACTAGCTGTTCCCGATTTACAACCATTATATTCTCAATGGGCATGTTGACAAAGATCTTAATGGTTGTGAACCAGCTATTTCTGTGTTCATGACTATTAGAATGTCTCCACAGAGAAGCCAAAGGAGTTTATAATGGTGGTGAACTAGCTATTTCTGAGTTAATGGCTATTACAGATTCCAGAGAAATACCAGTGAAGTTTATCATGTTCACGAACTGAGTGTTACAGTCTCACAGTAACTATAAACTCTGCTGAGAAAGTGAAAGAGTTTGTAGTGGTCACACATGAGCTATTTCTACGCTCAGTGCTATTACTAACTCAGATAAGAAGCCAAAAGTTCACAAAGTGGTATTTCTTTCGCCCTTGGCAAACTTCATGTAGGAACTGATAAAGCTACTAATGTTTCTCAGAAAACCACACTCTAATTCACAATAACGCCTCTCAGAGTACTACAGTGGCACAAAATCTCTGCTCTGCTCAAAGCCACTGTGGCAACTTGCCAGGAGCCTGAGGGCTGCAACTCATTTATATATGCATTTACATAAATTTACATGAATTTTGTGTCAATTTGTATTCCTTCAATGTTGCAATGAAACCTATACTGAAGTGAATAAACAACATATAGCTAACTGACTAATACCAACATTGCATTTCTTTTAAATTTTTCTTCCTTTTATTCTTTTTTCCTTCTCATTTTTTTTTCTAATGCCTGTTTCTTAGTGAGATTGACTTCCAATCCTGGAGGCAATCTGTTTTTCAGGGTTAAAAAAAAACCCTGTTTCATCTGTGTTTGATGGCAGGGAGGCACGAAGTTGTGGCTTCAGCAAACTGCTGATGCTGTACACTTAGCAATCTCCCCAACCACCAGTGACTAATATGCATATTAAAGAGGGCAGTGCAAGCACAGTCCCTTGCTGACCTCCAAATATGAAGCCTTCAGAATATTCATGACATTTTAAATATACACATTAAAAAATCGGGAATATCAGAAGTAGTGGATCTTTTTTGTATGAAAATGTCTGTGTAAGTAGCATTTTAGAGATAAAATTATCTCAGTGGACCAAGTTAATTATTTATAGCAAAGGTCCCCTTTGTGATAGGATCTATTTGGAGGAATTAATGGAGTTCAATGCCGCGATGTATCTTTGCCTTCTCCTAAGGATGCACAATTTATATAGTGCTTCATTATTTGACAGCGCAGCTATCAGCCAAGCCCTCTGTGACTTCAGATAATTATCTGTATGGACAGCAGCCTCACATTCCACTTTCTGCCATTCTCACAAAACCATTGGTTTTGAGATGAGGAGTTCGCCACTTGTTGCTTGAGGGCATGACAATATTTTAAAATGGAGATGAATTTAAATCTTTTGTGGTTTTTCCCTGGATGGGTATCAACAAATAATTTTAAAGACTGAAAATCCTTCTGCAGTTATGTGGCACCCAAATGGCATTCTGTGAAGAGTGTTGTGCTGGCAGAGATCATCATATCATATCTGAGATCAGACTAGAATGGGCATTACCAGGGTGGAATGGCTGTGCAAATGAAAGCACTATGTGGCTGCATGATGAGCCAGGACCACAGCAGCAGGAAGGTTAGGCTAGCTCGGTGGAGATGACACAAATTACAGCAGAGCAGAGAAGCAGAAGCTGGTCCTACATGCCTCTGTGCAAAGTGCAAGTCATACTAGAGTTTTTTCCTGAAGTAGTTGCCAGAATCTTCAAGGGAAGAATGAAAAGGTAGAAAGAGGTCTCTTCCAATACTTCTTCTACCAGTCTCCACGTGAATTTTGTAGACCAATAAGGAATAGAACCAATACATCTGTGCTACTGCTGTAGCAGTCTGCAGGACATTGTACCTGCTTTAGGTGCAGTGACCTCCAAAGCTCCAGTTATTC